ACTGATTATAATTTATCACATCAGTTATCATCAAAATCTACTACTACCTACTATTTGCTACTACTTCAAAGCCAATTAAAATGTCTGTCATAATTATCATTGTCACTATCACCTTCAAGCTTGTTAACTTGCGACGACACTACGCAGATAATATCAATGCATATAAACGTGTATCTATTGATATTACCTGTCATATCGCAAGTTAATAAGCTTGAAGCTGGTAACGATGGCGATGATGATGAAAACAAGTTTCTTTGTGTCGCACACCGTAGAAGGTCTTCGAGAGACGAAAAGAAATACTGTTACCAGTTTACTGCCGTAAGGTTAATTATTTAAACGGCGTACTAAATGAACAGCTTCGTACGAAACGACATTAACAGTCTAACATTGATGTCCTTCTCGTCGTTCTCATGTTTATGTGTACTGCTATCGTTATCATCTTCATCACCATTTCAGGTTATTGGCTTGTGGTACGGTATATAATATCAATTGGTATGATGAATTATAATCAGTGAATAGTTTAGCGATAAATGCGTATTTATTTATGCTACCGTGTAAAGTGCTGCTTTACCACTGATCGATGATATCGAACCGTAAATTTACCATTGAGCTAGTCATAAACTCAACGAAAACAGGGTGCGTAAATAGTGCTGATCATTCCCTATGTGTAAACGCGACCATATCCTAGAGGCACAGAGTTCCTTACCTCATCTTCCAGTCAGGGACGTAATCCGGTTCACATATATAATATTCCATAGTATTGCAGACTTGTCTGATGAACGACTCCGTTCCCTTCTGGTTACGCTGCCTCTTTCGCTGATTCATTCAAGGGAGGTCGCAACTGCTGTAACGACATAGCGCAATAGATGTTACTTCTGCATCTGACGTTAAGGTGCTGCAAAAGTTTAATATGGTATTTCCTTTCGTGACATGGATTGAAAGAAGGTAGACTGTAGAAAGTGCCTTGATTATCTTACTCTTCCTCTAGGCTTACTGATTTTAACAGAGGTCGGCTGTTCAAGTCAAATGCCTGAATTTTTGTCGACTTTGGTTAAATTTTAAGTCATTCTGTAGTTTTGTATCATTTCTGTACAACACGCTCGCCTTATTGTTTTTTGTTCCGCCTTTTTTCTCTACCCTGGAACATCCTAGCTTGAATTGCGCTTCCGGTGTGCTTCTTTTCACATGATCATGCTAATGGATTCTGCTTTTAATAATTAATGAGCTTTACTATAATTGAAACCAGACCTATTGCGCGCCTTATGACGGTCGCCAGGATGCGATCTTCACTGCTGACATCACACATTCATTGGAGCATTCGCATTTCTGCCAAGTTCAGGCGTTGCAACTCTCGTTATAAATAGGATACTGATCATCATTAGCTCATGACTCTATTGAATCACGTCGCCCTCCTGATCTCAAACGCTTGGGCAAGAGTTATGGCTCTAACGAAATCTGTGGCGTATAGCTGCATCTCATGTCATCTTAAAGAGCAATGTCCACGGTCCGAAATAATAATGACAACAACTACTGCTTTTCTGATTTGCAGGCAATCAAAGTGTTTCGTCGTTCAGAAGTACTCCGTGTGAACAACGTTTGTCATAGTCTGATTTTTCTTTTCAGTGGATAGACTACGAGTTCGGTTACATCGTGGCGTCAGGAGTGTTTCTGGGTTATGTCGTACTGTTCATCGCGTCATACATGCTGTACATGTGCATTAGCTGCTGCGTTTCGACCGACGAGAAGAAGGCTTCGAATCAGCGTAGCTGTGTTCGATATCTGTACAACGTCCTGCTGGCAGCCACGGTTCTGCTGATGATGTAGTATGAATGAGTGTTGTCGAATCTGCGTAATATTACCCGGTACTAGATTCGTGATCTCCTGCGCGTTCGTCTCTAACGAAAGCGTGCACCGCGGAACAGCGGTGGTGGTCGCCCGCGTTGGCCGGCTGCTGGACGACGTGGAGCTATTCAGAAACAGGACCAAGCAGGTATGGCATGTGGGTGGGTGCCTTGGCCGTACGAACCACTATGCAGCAACTGTACTTTCAGCGACTGGATAAGATCGTCAATGAAGACTTTCAACAGTTCAACTCGTCGCTGACAAGTAGTGTCAAAGGTGAGTACTGTCTGGTCTTCGGTTGTCCGTCCGCTCGTTGTGGACGTGTGACACACTTCTCTAACCGTACTGTATTTCGTTCTGATTCGCCGTTACGATCAAGATACTTTGCTCGACCGTTGTGCATTGACTGAACGATTCATACTGTTAAGTAATTTGCCAGTGGCCAATCTGATTCGAAGCATGCGCGACAGTAGGCGACCAGCTTTAAGGTTATGGTCGTTTATAAATGATTGTATTTTCTTAAAAACGACGTCTGATGCTTGGATTGGTGACGCTCATAAATTACTGCGGAAAAAATGGCAACCCATCAATCGTCAGCTTGGGTGAGACGCCGCAATTCCGATCTACAGTATCGCGGCCTCGCGATTTGCATAACTTTTCCGCGACAGTAGCAGAGTATCTTCTACGGTCGATTCGATGAGGCGGGTGTTCTGCTTGACAACACTGGTTTGACAAGCTAGTCAAAGGGTGCTGCGCAGAAACCTGGGCATCAGGAAATTTCATACACCAGTGACTTGGATGCACACAGGCTATTTGGAGACTCGATTTCTGATGGTGGTAATGGCATCACTGGTCTCGTACTTTCGCTGAGATGACAGCATCTGAGGCATAAGTAAAAAGTGTCAAAAACACTCTGCAAGGTACTTTAATTTCCATACGTGGGTGGCGGTCATTTGAACTGTAAAAGAATCCAACTGAAAACAGTCAGAAGTGCGGCGCGTTGAAATTCCGGCATCGCTTAGAGATGACAAGACGACCAGGAAGAAACGGCGTGCACTCGGAAATTGCTCGAAGCTGATTCGCCCACGGCGTTCGTCAATTAACGAACCTTCTACGTCTATCA